GCCCGCTAGATGGCAGTAGCTGAATATTGGTTTATCTTAGCCAAACTTTATCGTTATTCAAATTATTTGCTCCAGTTTTTAACGTCTGTTCAATAAGAATCAGGCATCAGAGTAATTTGAGAATACTTATACTCAAGCCACTTGTTGGTTTCAAAGAAGATTGCCGTATTTTTTAGCTTAATTCAGGCCATAAAAAACTAAAACGCTCAAGTGGAGATGCGTGCCAGATTGAGCGCGTCCTTTGCGTTGTTAAATAATGACGCAGGACTGACATTTGCAATGTTTACCCTAAGCGCTGTCTATTTCCGTATTAAAGATACCGATGCCGAGGCGGGTTAGCGATAAGCATTTTGAAATTATCACGGAAAGTTACCAGTCCGTTGATCTTTAAGTGGCTAGCGCGCTTACTATTGCTAAGTTTTAGTATGACAACCATGAACGAAATGTCACACTTAGTTGCTACTTTGTCATCTTGATTTGAGCAGCCTTGTCACCAGGCATCTTAATTAAAACACAAACACGTCATAGGTGTTTTGTGAGCGCCGCAAAGGAAATCAGAGTGAGTATGATTACACAAGGGGAAGCTAACGTAGTTTCTTTGCCTTTGACTTTTCTCTGGCATATTTGGGTAAAAGATTATTAACCACCGCCCTGGCTGGCCCTTTTCCAGATCGAGGACTGGTTGGATAGTCGATGCGACCCCTCCCTTCCCTGCCGCTTCCAAACTTAGAACGATAGAACCTCGCGAAAAACGTTAGTAGATTGGTCCTAGCTAGATACCGCGATTGGTCATACATTTTAGGCCTCTAGATCCGTAATTGAACCCATGATCTCAGGCCAAAGGTCAGATATAAACTCAGCTGCAAATTAATTCAGTTGATACGGGCGATCAAAAAAGTGTCGTGATGGTTCTCTTGTTCTAGCTTTGGTTGACAGCTCATGCGACGAATGGCGGGAGCACTGTTGGAGCGTCCGTCCCGACAAGTATCTCACACCGCACGTGTATACAGTATACTTCCAGATGGGTAAACTTTAAATGAACACGAAAGGACTGTTTTGCCATGTATCAATTTTGCCATTTTTCTCCATTTCAGTCAGCAGTTGGCAGAGTAAAGCAGCGTGGACCTGCGTGGGGCGATGCCGAGCGTTTTGGCTGCGATCCAAAGCTCCTGATGCGTCAGCAAGGCAGGCGCAGCACTCGGCTCGGGAAGGAAGTGGCGCGTTCAGATGTGTATAATTGCGTTTGAATAAGGTTTTAATGTTGGCAAGGTGGTGTAGATAAAAATGAGTATCATTTTTGTAGAGACAACAGGCTCTGATGTAGATACTGATTTTATTCATTCGGCATCTTGTGTTTGTGGAAAGTGCGGTGTGGGCACCTGATTTGGTTTTCATTTTGTCTTCGGTGTGGTCGATATCCTTGAACATTGTGGTGCCGCCGCGTGGTTGGTGTAAGCTGTCGATCACCTTCCAGCGATCTTGATCCACCTGCCTTTTGTCTTGGACGCGTTCTACTTTGGAGCGGTGCTGTGGGCTGGACAGGGAGGTACTATGGTGCGGGTCTGTCATGTGTGACTGTCATGAAGCTTCCACCACAAGGGTGTGGTTTTGCGAAACGGATTTGGGGCGTTAAAGAGAAAAATGGCCGAATTTGGCCGTGGCATAAGCTTAAAAATAGCCTCCCGGATGAATGATTAATACCGCTATCTTTAATTTTGCAAATTGCGTGAGTCATTAGCCATCCTGCAAATTAGCCATCATTAGCCATCTGGTGCAAACATCGTGAGTCATTAACTCAACCCAAGTGGTGAGTCCGAGCTGAGCTGAATCATAAACATTGGAAATTGGATCCCAAAATTTGTGCGCCGGTTTCGACCTGGACTCAAAAAACTGAGTTGAACATAAGCCTAGCAGGGCCCCGGTGACCAGGCCCTTTTTGTCCAGGCCCCCCCCCCCCCCCCCCCCCCGGAAGTCCCGCCCTCTAGTTCAAAATCCGTGGTGGCGCCCCCGGGACAATACGCCTATTTATTGCGCTAGATAAGCAGTGCCTTGCGTGATACACACTAAGTATGGCGTTAACAGCACCATCTATGGGGGCTTATGCGTGGACAGGCCGGTAATCGGCGTTACCTTGTTCGTTGTTGCACCGACGTAGCGCATGTGCGCTGACTGCCGATCGCAGCGCCACCTGTACGGTTTGTGTAACGAAACTATCGCCATCTATGTGATGTTTTCGAAAGATGTTGCCGAACGGTACCTTTTGAGGACATGACACGCTTGTTTTCAAAACGATATAAACTCGTAATAATAGGTCTCCAGGTACTCAGCTTTGCCTGTCGTGTCACTTTTATCAAATTACATGTTCCAGGTAATTTTTAATGATGAATGCCCCAAGAAGCTGGGAAAAGCGAGAAGCATTTTCCAGTGTGTTCTGCCTCCTCCAGTAGCAGTAAGTAGCATGATGTGATCATCGACGGGCTTTATATGCTTGAGTTGTTTTTGAAATCGAATTCGTTCCTAGCAGATTGATGTGTCGTGCTGTTACAGGAGGGAGTGCCCACGCGGCAAAGTTGTATTTAAAGCGTTTTGGGGTCATTTATGTTGTTAAAATGTTTTTTTTTTTGACATTCAAAAAAAAAATTAGGAACGCTTCACGATTTTGCGTGTCATCCTTGCGCCTTGGTCTGTTGGAAGGTCTCAGTCAATATGAAGCACAAAGGAAACAAATTAGAACAAACTGGAACAGAATTGAAACACGAATGATACAAATTGGAACGGTTTGGAACCGGGCGTCCGCCAATCGCCACCCAGCTCTTCCCCCCACTGACAAATCACCGATCTTCTCACAGGTGGCGGCCTGATCGACCAATCAGCGATCGCGTAATAACCGGAACCTCTGTGCCGAAGGATGCCGGTTCAAGTCCGGCTGTAGTAGTTTTTCACATGTTAGACGTCCATGCGAGTTGACCGGTGCGGCAAAGGAAATAAACGATGCTGAAGGTAACGGTGTTTTTTTTCTTGCACGTGGCAGGAGCTTGCTTTGCGCCATGAATGTTGTGTACTTGAACAGTTTTGCTGTCAGTGCTGTTGATATCTCCCAGCTTTCCGGTGCCCAAACAGCCGATTAATGGCGGTTCGTTAGAAGAACATGCGGCAGCAGTCTGGGAAGGCGCTGCAGCACGCTGGGGAGTCGGATGTCAATGCCGCAGCATGGGGTATCATCATAGAGACGTGTTCCTGTCTCCTGCCATTAAAGCTTCAGTTTGATGGTAAAAAGCCGTATCTTGACCTCAATTATTCTGCATCATTATCATCATCGCAGAACCCTCAGCATCTCTGCCTGCGGCTCCGGTAAGCATTGCGATGGGTAAGGCTGGATTGCATTGCGATGGAAGCCGTGGTCGCTGTAGCACGCGTGCGGCGGGCGGACGCGTCAGAGCCACGCACAAGTTAGAGTGCTTACAACATCTTATTGGTCTTCTACGCTGCATTAGCCTGTCCTGATTGTAATGCCTTCTGGTGCTTAGGCCGACGCAAGTAGTAAGAAGATGCAGTCATTACTAATGCGGTCAAATTTGGTTTAGAGAACACCAGAGCACCTCGGCTCCTCCACATTTGGTGCGAGAATCAAACGACGGGTAGTGTTTGTTTGATGGTCGTTTCTGTGCGTCCAAATTGCATGCAGTTAGCGTCGGATTAACAACGTTCTGCAAACGAATAGCCTGCACTTGGACTGACGCAGGTGCGTCATGGATCACCCGCCCGTATTGAGTTCCGATGGGGATTCGGATGCGGATTCGGAGCTCGCCCAGTTCGGATCACGTGCGACCCCGCCCGATTCGGAGCGCGCCCGATGCTGCGCTCCGAACAGGCCGTCTCTCTGCTCCTATCGTGTAGACTGCGCCGCGTGACCTGCCGCCGGTGCCCCCCGGCTACACCTGAACCCGGGGCTGAGGGGCGGCCGAGCAGTGGCGCGCGAGTGCGCCGGTGGGCTGGGTCGCCGCGGGTGCGCGGTCGAGGTGCGCGGAGTGCTGCCGAGCGTTCGTGGAGCAAGGTGGGTCTGGCATCGGGCGGGACCACGTGATCCAAAAGAGAACTCATGGACTGGAAGTAGGTCCACCGGCCCACCGTCTCGACCCGGAACTGAGTGGAGCTCCTTAATTGGTTGTTCAAGCACGATTCCATTGCAGACCTATCAGCCTGGAGGCCGCCTGGATAGCACAATAGCGCGTTGAAATGCTGGCTTGTGTGAAATCTTCTGGGCTGGATTGTTCCTGACCCTTCACAAACTGGGGGTCGTCCGGGTCAGACGCACTGTGTCGCTCGACTACAGCAAACTGGGGACGGTGCACGGAAATCATGAATGCTGACATGCCATGTTCTATGCTAACTTCGGCCATAGATTTTGTTTACTGTAGGATCAAGTCATGCCGGTGCGTACTGTGTAAGATACATTATATGACCAAAGCCGTAAAGCTGGTTCACAGACGGTAGAAATTCATTAGTGCCAAATTCGCATCGTCAGGGACCTTCGACCTCAAAAGTTTGAGCATTCAGACTGCGATCCATAGTTTTGTCTCAGAACGATATGAGCTAACTATTCTTTACTGAGGTCGCTCGCGTAATTTTTTTCCGGAAAGTTTCAAAATAAGCTAGACATGGATAACCTCTTCCTGTTCACGATGAATAGTTGAAAGTGCTGGCTTGAGGAATATGTAACGCTCCTGAAAGTCTGCATGCATGTCATGGGCTGTTGTGGCTTCGGTACTGGTGCTGTACTTCTGTATTCAGTCAACGACTGCCTCAGCCAAATGTAAATCCATGGTCAGTCCGTTGCCCCGTTTGACCAATCATGTTCCGTACGAAGCCTTTTCATTCCTCAGCTGCGCGAGACCGCCAGGTCGTGGTCGTGGTTCTGGTGACCTGGTACCGACCCAGTCGTCAGTGACCCGCGGGTCTAGTGGGCGGTGACCCGCAGGTGGCTCGCACGTGACCCGCAGATGACCGTCTGGGCGCTCCTGATGATGCTGCTGGCGGCGCCGGCGCATGTGCACGTGCTGGAGCTGCCCGTCGCCTGCCCCGAGCAGAGCTGGTGCATACCCGGCAGCTACTGCGACGCAGACTACGTCATCTATGACGCCAGACACGGAGAGGTGTGGCACGGACCTCGAAAGGCCGCCGCCATGATAGTCTAGGGCCATGGCCAGTGGTCAAACTTAAAACTGTGTGAGAAGTGATTATGTCGCAACGCCTATTTGATTCCATCGGTGTTCGCGCCCATAAATGGGCAGCATTGCTGCTTGTGTCTGATGGGTGAATCTACTGGTGGGTGTGCGCGCATGACGTAGACGTAATGAAACGCGACTGAATGTAACGTAACGTAGCGTACGTATCATATTAATCGTGTCGGGGGCTAATTTGCTCCGAGTCGGAATGATATTTGAAAAGTTGCTGGCACATGGTAGTGGGCAGAAAGCTAACATAAATGTACTTGACGTAAGGAAGGTGTAACACATGCGCATCGCATCGCGTTCTCTCCGCATTGGGCAGAACAAGAGAAACAGTTCTCGAACGAGATGATTGGTTCGGGACGGGCAGTATGGCAAGTTTGCTTCGTCGATGACAATTTCAAAGTTGCAAAGCTAATTCCCTACAGATGCAGCGGCTTATTGTCTAACTGCATCGCTTCATAGATAACTCTATGGCATTCAACATAAACTCTATGGCATTTAACATAACATTGGCATTGAACGTTACGTTGACATTTCACATCACGTTTAAATATTCAACGTTTAGATATTCGAACGTTTGATTTATGCATTTTAAAACACATATCGTAGCATGACTACCGTGTCATCTGTCTGCATACTTTTGTATTACTACATGACGTATTAACAACAGTGAGAAGTTGTATGCCATAAGTTTCAAAAAGCCGAAGACTGAGGAATCCCACAACTCTGGAATCATAACTAAGATTATTCACTATGCATCTCAATGAGCTTGCGGACCGGTTGCTTGCGCCAATGCACACGCCACTTGAAGTTGTGCCCTTGCTCTGAAGGAGGAAGACTTCATATGCGGTGCCACAGTCGACACCATACGCTTCGTCTGCTGCCACACCCAGGAGTTGCTGCCCAACCAGTTCCAGCCCAACGTCAAGCACTGGTATTACCAGAGGAAGGTGAGCTCTGTCAGGAGAACGTCAGGGCTTATCACACGCACGCCCCTGTTCAAATGCGTTTTTCAGTTCGCATAGCAATAGTTTAAAGGATAATGAAAAGGCAGGCAATGAGGCGGTTGTGATATATTTCCAGCCTGTGGAAAGATATTCCGACCAGTCTGCTTGTATTCAATGGGAGTTTCTGGGATAATCGCTATCCCTTCTTCAGTTTTAGGTCAGGTAATGACAAGGACCATGACATGAAAACAGGCTCGGGCACGCATTGAAAAATCTAAAAACCTAAAAAGTCGCGTGCAATTCAATATACCCAGCGTTCTGAGGCAGCGAAGGTAGATCAGCTGACCATTCTTACACTTCATCCGCAGAAACATAATGCAAACCGATGAACAAAGCATATGCAGCGCACTCACAACTTGTGAAGTTTCAACGTATTTCTTTTGAATTTAACTATGACACATGACAAATAGCTGTCACCGTGCATACCTGTTTAAAACATGCCTAGTGATTCCACGATTCGGCATCGACATAAGGACGCACACGACATGTCGCGACACTAAAACAAGAAAATGCGTAGGCGTGCGCATACAGGCATTACTTTTTTTCTTTTTTTACTCGTGCTCGCTTTAACGTTTTCGAGCTCCCGACAAGCGATGAGCAGACTATCAGCTTGAATGTTTCTCGGTTATCCCGACGTTCCCCGCCAGTTTGTCCGCCCCCCCCCCCCCCCCCCCCTGTCCGTCCGGGACTTGGGAGTACCTAACATAGGCCTGACATCTGGGCAGCCGGGGTCTTTCCGGGACAGATGCGAGACGGAAATGATTGCGACTGAACTCGGTCGTCCCACAGGAAACTATGAATGTCTTCGCGACCGCCTCAGTACCCTGAGGCGCACGTTTGTGGCCACATTTGTCTCTAGGCCAACGCGATGTGCAGACTGTACTGGTGCGCGCGAGTCTCTAGACTGACCCTTGACTGTTCAGTGCTCGTTTCATCACCAGGGCTCGGTGTCGGCGGGTCTGCTGGCGGCGCCATGGAGCGGTCATCCTTCAGTGGATTCCCTTCCTGACGCGGCGTCTGACTACGATGACTTCGACGACGTGGACGAGGCGGTGGTGGAGGTGGAGGAGGACGATGGGGAGGACGATGGGGAGGACGAGCCGCTGGAGCCTCTGCGGGAGCTGCGGAAGCTGACGGAGCCGCTACAGGAATCACAGGGACCGCAGGAGCCACTGGAGGTGGAGAGGGGTGACGCCGGCGCCGCCGAGATGCTCGAGTCTCCGTCCGCCGAGAATCTGTCCACACCGCTCCATGTGTGTCCACTGGAGCCTCTGCCAGGTGGACCATGTGCGCTACGAGGTCGGCGTGTCTGATTCTGAGGTCAGTGGCTTCGTCAACAGTGTGGTGAGTGAAGGCTGCTCAGCTGCGCTTTACTTTGCCTGGGATCAGACGCTGGCGTGCGAGGGTCTGACGCCTAGCACGGGCCCGGGTGGCCGGGTGAATACCTTTCGATCGGGTGGGGGTCAATTTGACCCCCATCCGCAATCTGAAAACTAGGACAGCTAGAAACACTAAATTCACAGGATGGGCTGGTCTATATGTTGCCTCACATTTGTGAAAATTTGAGGTTCCTAGGTCGTGGTTTGGGGGTCAAATAAGTAAAAGAAGACCAAGCTCCAGATGGGTGCCTCAAGTACTCCCAAATCTTCTCATGGAACCGCCGCGAAGCTAGATACCCGTTCTAGGCAAAAGTTCAATGATTTTAAATTAGTCACTGACCTCGTTGAACCTTATAAGATCAAGGTGACCAAATACCTGCTCGATTGCTCCTACTTTGTCAGGTAAACAGGCGCCGGGGATAAGGCTAGGTGGCATTTTCCGAAAAACATGCTTGCCCACGGCATTTTAGGTCAGTGGTCCACTCTGACCTTTAAACAAGCAGTCCATGGAACATGACTGTTGCTGTCCTTGGTATTAATGAATCCGAAGTCAGCTCTGGAAACTATCCCATAAACCAAGCTCTTAAGCAAAAAACAGGCTAGCTTTGACCCCGGTCTGGCCATCTCATTTTCAAAATTTCTGACCGTAGGTCAAAAGAATCTGTCGTAATTCCCAGTTCGACTGGTTTATTGCTTAAGAAACCATCTCGATGTGTGGCTTCGTCTAACCCTCCGCTGTTGCATCACATTGAACGATTCCCAAAGAAATGTTTTTTTCGCTGACAGCCACGACATGACTTTGACCGACCATAGGTCAGCGACCGTTCAATCCTACGTCTGATTCTTTACATCAAAAGGTCCGCTATTTTAACCCCCTACAGCTATGCAAAGTTTGGCGTCACTACACTACACCGTTCGGAAATCATTCGGGAAAAATCTTCGGGAGGAATTCAAGTTGACCCTCACCCCCAACCGAGCGCGCGTTGATCAATCGACGGATGCGATCAGTCGCTTCCTCAAGCCTAGCTTTTATCCGAGCTCCTCATATTTTGCGGCATTGTGTTGTCTGATTCTGCAAGATAGGTTGTAAGATTTTATTTCCCCACATGATTCACGTCGTGCCTCAATCCCAAAACGTTACGTGTTATTGTGAAATGTTTGATGTTAAATGGCGTTGCCGCGATGTTCACCGCTTCGTAATGTAATGTGGAGCGGGACGCTTTTTTGCGACCCATTCGTGCCCCACCGTTCGGTCCTTGTTCTTCAGGACTTCCTGTGCGGCGTCACCGACGACTCTGAGCTGTTCGTCTGCTGCGGACGTCTGATTCTGAATGTGGCCTCGGCGGCGCGCGCCGAACCCGACCGTACGTCAACCGTGAGCCAGCTGCCGCTCGGCCACCTGGCCGAAGCCTTCTCGCTCTTCTCGCCTCCGCCGGAGGTCACGACCCCGGCGCCGCCGCCCTCGCCCGAGGCTGTAGAGGCGGCCAAGACCCATAACCACTATTTGCACGAGGTGTTGTTCCAGGAGCGGAGGCGGAGGGAGGTCGCCAGTGCTCTCCCACTCGGCCAGGTGATATACCCATCCGAGATCGCGCGGGAGCGTCTCAAAGATCAGAACGGCGCTCCCGAAGCTGCCGTCGAGACCACTTTCAGATCGACTCTGGGCGGCCGCTTGAAGCCAGCGAGCTCGGCCGGCAGGGTGAAGCTGGGCGGGTTGACGCCACCTCCGGCAGCGACGACTGGTGAGCCTGACGTTAGTCGTGAGTTGCCAATTCCGCCGCGGCCGCCACCCCAACCACAGCAGCCGCAGCCGCAGCCGCAGCCGCTCGAGTCGCTCGCCTTCATTGCGCCGCCGCCGGTGTCTCCGCCGCTTGCGACGCCGCCGCCTGCCGCCGCCGCCACAGCCCCACCTCTAGCGGCTATCTCTGTGGCGCCGCGGACGGTGCCGACACCAATCAACGCGGACGTGCGTCCCCTGAAGGCGGCCATCTGGCGGGGAAGCGACGCGGAAGACGGCACGCCTGACGAGGAGGCTGCGAGCGGCCGCACCTCGGCCAAGGAGGCGGGGTCGGGCAGCATCCTGAGTCAGATCCTGGACAGTCTGCCGGGCGGACCAAACTCGCGCCACCACGAAGAGGGGCTGCCGCCACGGCGCGGCCAGTTCTTCGCGCCGCTGCCCGTGCGGCGGCCGCCGACGGCTCACCAGCCGGCCAGGCCGCCCGTCGGACTGCGGCCGCCGTTCCCCGAGCCGGACTTCGAGCCGCCCCACCTGCGGCCGGGACACCAGGATCCGCCCCACCTGAGGCCGGGACACCAGGAGCCGCCCCACCTGAGGCCAGGACACCAGGATCCGCCGCACCTGAGGCCAGGGCACCAGGAGCCGCCGCACCTGAGGCCGGGACACCAGGATCCGCCACACCTGAGGCCAGACCATTTGGGCTCCTCTCATCAGCAGCCGCCTCACCGTGATCCCCCTCACTTTGAGCGTCCTGGACTGGATGTACATCACGTCCAGCAACATCACTCCCTAAACCACGTAAGTAAACAATTGGCATGTGCATGCCTGTTGGACATGTGTATGACCATTGAACATTAGTATGGTCTTGAACAGTTCTTCGGGCTAATATTGGTACCTTCCACGTTACACTCCAAGCCATGCAATGACAAATCAGCGGGACTTCCCAGAAAAAAAGTTTTTAGAACGTGGAAATGTTTTGCATCTGCCCATTGCGGGATGGTATTAAGGTTTTTGTCTGTGGTTAATGCGAATTGAACACACCTTATGCATAAACACGAATACATCTGCATTCTCTACCTTTATCTTGTTACCTACCAAAAACCGAACATTGCGTCGGCAAAAACTTTGCACCTGGGCTCCCAAACTGCACGGTTCGTCGCCGTCACAGTACGCAGCCCCGCTACTCTCCCGCGTTCGCACACCGAGTGGCGTGCCCGTGCCTCAGCCGACGGTGGCGCCGCTCTGCGGCCGCGGTAGCGAGCTGGGGCTGCACGCGCGCATCACGACGCAGCGCGGCGAGGACGGCGTGACCGGCTACGGCGAGTACCCGTGGCACGTGGGCGTGCTGGCGGCCGACCTGAGCTACCTGTGCGCCGGCGTGCTGGTGGCGCCGCGCATGGCGCTGACAGTAGCCCACTGCGTGGCTCAGCGGCCCGTCGGCGCGCGCCTCGTTGCGCGCGTTGGCGACTGGGACTTGGCCGCCGACGACGAGCTCTACGATGCCTACGACGTCGAGGTGGTGCAGGTTATAGTGCACCCCGGTGAGTGGCGGGGCGGGGGGGGGGGGGAGGGCAGCTGACTGACCTGGCGTCAAGGCGTGCGATGTTATTGTCCTTGTGTCCCGTCCTGTGACGTTCCTGGTGGTTGGTTGCATGTCCCGATACATGTGTATTGCTTCTGCCGAAATATCACCACTGGCTTTACGGGAGGGCCGCAGTTGCGTGCGCGCTCGGCTTCCATGCAGGAGGTCCTGGATCGACCCCCGGCTGACTCCACGGTGCCCGGGCGCCGGACTGACCGTTAAAGTTGCCGACCCCCTGCGTAGTCTCGCGGGAAGCCGTGAGCCACGCAACTTTAACAGGGCACTCATCTGAGGCTTTGCATGACACGTCTGGTGGATGACAATGATGCAAGATGCTGCTTCTCAATTTCTGCAGTGCCAGTAGCATCCACTAATTATTTGACGCCAACATTCACTTGCTCCCCCGCCGTCCTCAGACTACTACGCGGGCAACTTGCAGAACGACGTAGCGCTGCTGATGCTGGACCCGCCGGTGGAGGGGCTGCCGCACGTCCTGCCAGCCTGCCTGCCGCCGCCGCACGCAGACTTCACACACCAACACTGCTGGGTGACCGGCTGGGGTCAGGCGCGCCATGTCTCCGGGGACGTGCACGACCCCACCTCCTACAGCTGGCTGTTGCGCGAGGCGCCGGTGGCTGTGGTGCCGCCACGCTCGTGCCAGCAGCACCTGCGCTCCACCCACCTGGGCCCGTTCTTCCAGCTGGCGGCGCGCGGCGTGCTGTGTGCCACCGGCCGGGCCGGCAGCGACGCCTGCTTCGGGGACGGCGGCGGCGCCGTGGTCTGCCCGCTGGCCCAGGACGGGCCCGACGGGCCGCTCTACGTGGCAGGTCAGGGGCGCGCGGGTCTGTCTGGCATGCGATGAGGTCAGGTGTGTGAGTCTGGTGTGATGGTGTGGTCTAGTGAGACGCGGTCTAGTGGGACGCGGTCTGGTGAGACGCCGTCTAGTGAGACGCGGTCTGGCGAGACGCGGTCTGGTGAGACGCGGTCTGGCGAGACGCGGTCTGGTGAGACGCGGTCTGGTGAGACGCGGTCTGGTGAGACGCGGTCTGGTGAGACGCGGTCTGGTGAGACGCGGTTTGGCGAGATGCGGTCTGGTGAGATGTGGTCTGGTGAGGTCTAGTGCGATCTGGTAGGATATGATCCGGTTCGATCTGATCTGCGTGTTGGAACTGCCAAAGTCGGAGGCGAGGCCTGGTGAGGTGGTGTTCGGGTCTGGTGTTAAGACTTGTGAGATGGGATCTGGTACAGTAACGTGTTGCCGTGCCGTCCAGCGTGACGTGGTGTCTTGTATGGTGGGGTGTGGTGCGCTTGGTGAAGTCTGGTCCGACGCTAAGTCTGGATGTCGCCATCGGCAAGCTGGTGCTGGGTTGATGGCTAAGTTCTGTAAACGCGCTGAGATAACACTAACGTTATGCATGAAAAATACGTTGGGACCTGTTGCGGCTTAAGTGCCGGAGCCGTGTGTGGCAGGAGAGAAGCCAAGGGAGGGGCCTGTGGGGTCCAGTTTTTTTTTTAGGTCTGGGGTCCGGTCGTTGGGGCCCGGATTTTTCGTTTTTTCACTACAGATGCCCCCGGCAAAGAGCTAAGAATCCGCTTGTGTACTCATCGAGCTTTTATCCCCTTCCCTTCAGAAAATCTCAGCTGCGCCCCTGGTACGTATAAATCATATTGAACATCTTCCCATGTTAAGAAGCCATAAGTCGACAGCTTGCGCCGTGCTTGTAAACCCCACTCCTAGAACTTGCATATAATTAGCCTGGGGTGGAGTCCGGAGCAGGTGACCGAACGGCGAAGGTGACTACGGGATCACCGGACCTGGTGCTCCTGATCGTCAGGCCTGGTGTCCTGGGGCATCGGCTGCGGCCAGGACATCCCTGCCGTCTACACCAAGGTCTCCGACTACTACGACTGGATCGTCGGCCACGTGAAGGACGTCAACACCATCGCGCTGTTCCAGTACGCCCGAGCGGCCGACGCTCGATGAACGGAGCGGCGCGGAGCGAAGCCGGCGTTGTTGATGCTGAATGTGATTTATGGTGATGACAATACATCATGAACGGAGTCTGGTGTGCCTCGTTCAACTATGGCGCACAGGCGGGGGTCTGTTGAGGGGCGTGAAATTGCGGGCGTAAACTGTGGACGATAGGCATAACATGCTATAGGGCGGGTCTAGGCCGCAACCGAGAATGAAAAAGTGGATGCAGCATTCTCTCTCTTCCTCGGGATGCATACTCTTGGGCCCGATGCCATAAATGCTTGCATATTACGAAAATGCATACTGCGGTCACATTAAGTGGCGTTTGACATGTTGAAAGGAAATAAGTGGACAAAGAAACGTAAAGTCTTCAAGCCAGTGGACTTTTCCACAAAAAATTGTTAGCTCAGATCATGTACGTAGAAGACGCTTTTAAAGGAGTATCACACCTTTGGGGCATGTTCCAAAACCATGCTCAGACGGAACGTCTGGATGATTTACGTCTGTAATAGTACTGAGAGGTACCCCTGCAGCACCGTCGTGGTATGAGAAAATCTTCCATAATTTTCGAGTCGGAGTTGTTATTGGTTTGTAATGCACTACAGTTACTCCTTTCCTGGTAGTCCCGGAACATAACCCCCCCCCCCCCCCCAGAGTATACCCGGGGTCCGCGGCAACTGCGGGTGTCGCCACCGTCGTCACGACAACCGCCATAGTCATGATGGTGAAAGGATTGCTAAGGGCCGTCCCCAGCTGTTACGGGTTAGACATGCCATTTTTGGGCTATTCTGGCGGAGGCCTTGCGGGCCTGCGGGCTTAAAGTTGTCACTAATGGCGCAAATTATGTTCGAACAAACGTTTGTGATGCACAGCAGGCGACAGGGATCAGCTGCCGAGAAGCGCGTTGGTTGAAATCTGGGTCAGCGCGTGACTGCAGACCACGGTTACTGGATCTACAGATTATGTGAACCCGGCAACCAGTGACGTACTCTCGGGGGACTAGATTTCCTACTGGATACGGTGTTTTATCGGCTAGATTGGTAGACTAACGCAGCTTTTCTAAATAATACGGCCTCCTTTGAAAAGTTAATGTAATACAATCCAAGAACTTACTGTATGCTGTAAGATTTTGACTGGCTTTTGCAAGTTAAATGTATAACGAAGGTAAACCAGAGCAATATAGTAGACATTTTCACTGTATGCCAAACATTTCAGTAGTGATAAGTTTGGTGCCTCTGCAAAATACATTGTTGTTGTCGTTGCCATGGTTACGGGCATGTGTGTCCACAATCTTATCGCAGTACATGAGTTTGTGTAATAAAGTTTAGAGTGCAAATGTACTTATTTTAGCTTATTCACATCGCTACACATTTCCTGCGTAGAATCGTGTCGCTGTGCACCGTGAAACAAGAATGCGGCGAACACCGCCTCATATTACTTCTCAATGAAATCAAGACAAGACGCGCAATTCGGCATAGTTTCGCGCCTGCCGACATGGAGCGTCTGTTCAAGGCCTTAAGGGCCAGGGTTCTTCGAAGCATTTTATTTCATGTGGGTTCTGGACGCGATTTGCAGTTTCAACTGCTCCATCCCGCAAAGAATCCTGCGCGCAAGCCCGAGGTGAACAACGAAAAAGGAAACTTCCAGTGGTGGCGTCAGTGGCTCCCCTGATAAGAGGGTCGATGGGTGGAGAACGCCGTCGAGGCGCCCTTCTCCTTTCTAAGGATTTTTGAGGACATCTTTCCGGCATGTTGTGCAATCGTGCCCAAGCTTCTCTGTCAACTGGGGCATTCATTACCCGTGCTGGACACAAAATGTGTCCATAGCATCTGGCTTCTGAAAAGTGATCTTTTTAGGCAGTCTTTAGCTGGTGCAAGCGACGGGTGGCGACCGACCAAGCCGCCGTCCGCGGCGGCGGAGACCTCGCCTGTCACATTAGTAGAGCCTTATATTATAAATAAATGCTCAAAACCCACAAAACTGGATGCTCAGAATGAAACAGTTGAAACACTTGTGTAGCTTTTTTGGCGGAGTGGGTGGTGTCGACCCCCCCCCCCCCCCCTCTCCTATCAGTTTGTGTTGTGAAAAACAGCGAGTCAGCGCGACGGTTGAGCTCTGAATTGGCGCTCAAGACGTATGAATGGCGTGCCCTGCTCACTCGTAAAGACGTCAAAAATATTGACAAGCGCCAATTTTAAGTGCGGATGATGGTGCCAAAGAAGTGGGTTCAAATGGTAATGAATGAACAAGACGTCGGCGGAATATTGACTCTAGCCAATACTTTTAGCCCCAAAACTGCACCTGTCAAGCTAGCAGAATATCTTTACCAAGCCGTCGATCGATATTCCGGGCCACCACAATTTAGCTAACAACTTACAGGCTAATAAAAACTTGGCACATGTATCTCAAACTGCGAAAAGCTAAGTTGAGCATACAAAACTTCGCGAGATATATGCCCAACCGCAACGTTTTAAAAAGCTTGGACGCTGGTCTGCGAACACACATTTTGAACTCCGTGAAAGTGGTCCGCCCTGATTGACCTTGAACTTCAGCCCAAAATGTTTCAGGCAATCGTGAATGGCAACCTTACCTTTTCAAGTTTTTGCACGCGCAGACTTGACGCTATAAGACTAGCAATTTTTAGCCAGATCGTGAGAGTCATAAATATTGATGTACAGCTTGATTTAAAACTGCTGCTAGTTTGACAGGCGTACCAAAGCATGGCTGAGGCTGGAGCAGGCATACCAGAACGCCCAAGTTCTCGGCGCGCTGCCTGGCCATGCTTCTAATGGGGTAAATCAAGGTAAAATGCTGCCGAAATGTAATTGTGGATACTCACGCTATCATCACAAACTCTGCACAAACTTAGACGGTTGCATGACTGATTGCAGGCCTATTCGAGTACAGGCTAGCACATTCGTTAAAAATGTATCGCAGGAAACGACATTTGATCACCATCTGAGACAATGAATTTCATCTGAGAAGATGCTGCAGTGGGTTCTGAAGTGTCTAGGTGCAGCTCAAAGTGCCTTAAAAGTAGCGCCGACACTGACTTATCAATATGTGCCCATTTGATCAGCAGTGGCCGTTTTTAGCCGACCGAAATAGCCCCTCACTGTTCCGCTGGTTGGATGGGGGGGGGGGACTGATCATGTTTCCCCTCCTGTCACGCTTCCCGGAGCTGGTGAGCGCGTTTCTGGGAGGTGTGGTTCTGATGCGAGGCAGGTGAGGCCGTCCGGACTACATCAGTGCTTCTGTGAGGTGACCTGGACGCAAAGGTTTCGGCGCATCCCGGTGTGTCTTGATGCGGACAGCATGACGCCTTGCCTGTCCACTGCTACGACACTTTTGGTATTATTGCTGCTTCCTCCGCCTCCGCCATCTTGTAAATTTATCATTATCTGGCATCGTGTTGTATACATGTGCTCTAATTCTGCCTTACATGTGCTTTAAGTCCGGTACATCGCAACATGTGCACTAAAATTATTAGTTTGCATATAGTTGTATTTTTTCATATGGCACGCGCCTCATACATGGGCAGAACCGTCAGCTTCCCGGACGAGTTGTTCTGACACTAACCTGCTCACTTAATATTCGAAACGTGTGTTCAAAATGTCGCATGTCGTCGTCGCCCGTTCAATATGTAGCCAGCTCAACAGGGTTAAAGCGTCAACCTTACAAGACGACTGTCACATTTTCAATTCAAGGTCAAACTTAGGCTCACACGTGGAGGTAACCAATACCGTAACCCAACGTCATGTGACTAGTTTAGACTAGATTGGCATGCAATTCAGCCGAGAATATGCCTTGGCGACCGAGCAAAAAGGAAAAGACATTTGCAAGCAAGATGTTCAGATATTTCGAGCCTAAAAAGCACAGTTTGTATTCTAACACGCAGAACGCCTCGAGAAGCAGGATGTATCTAAGGAAACTGGATGAGTATCAGAGGCCCAAGAACAACACTAGCGCCATCTATAAACCAGGCATTGGTACCAGTAATGCCACCTAGGTTAGCTTTGCATCGCCTGTGCAAAATGACTTGCAGGTCAAAGCCAAGGCACTGGGCTTCAAAAGCACACCTGGCGTACCAGAGATCATAGGTTTTTTTTCTGACGCTGAAAGCGCGTCAGCCGTCTGTGCCTTCTCAATTTGTTTAAAAGCTGCCTCTGAAAAGGACCCTTTCCTATGGGCTTACAATGCTGTGGCTTGTCCAGGTGCCCTGCCGTGCCGTCACGGCGGGGTTGCCAGATAAACTTTGAGGGGCCCTGACTGTAGACAATGTGATACTCTGCTTCTCAAAGTCATGGTGCAATCAGAGCCGTGGTATAGCGTTTCGTTGATCTTACTGTTTCCATTTGTCATAGCATTCATTTTACAAGCATTTTGAAAAATTGATCCGTTACAAACATAACAGAATAGAAACGTTGTGAAAAACAAAGCAAGTGAAACAGATTACTTTCATAATGGTGAACATGGCGTTCAATGAGGTTTCTCCCGCAGTAGCGCCTATTTCAAATGGAAATGCTGAGGTATTTCGACGCATTTCAAGAAAACTGGCATTACTGATCAAATCGGGCGCTGCTGATCTAACAATAAGTGAAAAGTGCAAAAGGTGGCGTACTTCCTTTAAGAGGTCATCTATGATTTAATTGCAAGGTCGTGATTATAGGGCGAAACTTCCTATCGCATTTCGTCGTCACACATTTCTTCGTACCCAAAGCCTCGCACGTATGCATTCGTACAACAATTTTTTGCACGCAATCTTCTTGAGCGCAGATCTGCCATAAACGCTAAGGTTCGCGATTCGTGTACGAATCCTTCACATCGCTTTTCTTAGTATCGCGTTTAATCACGTACGCATTGATCACAAGCGCAAATCCTTCATGCCGCGTTTAAGTGTCGCATTCTTTGCACCCTAGAATACACATATTTTCCCATGCGTGATTGCGTATGTTATATATATATATATATATATATATATATATATATATATATATATACATATACACCTCTTGATGTATATATATATATATATATATATATATATATATACATAATGCCATAGGGAAAGCCATAGGGAAAATGAA